TTTGGTGAAGCGGAGACTCTTGAAGAGGGTCTTTCGCTGTCTGTATCGTCCATGTATATGTATATGTTCTCCTCGTTTTCGGAGTCCGACATGTTGTGCGTGTGTTCGTGCGTGTGTGCGTGCGTGTGTGTGTGTGTGTGCGTGTGTGTGAGGGTGTGTAGGTTTTAGTCGTGTGGGGATGCCCCCTTACGGGGGCGTACGTGTCTTTTGGTGTATTAGTCTGTCTGGTATATTGTTTGTCGGGGGTCGCAATTTTAAAGAAATGTATTCAAAAATAATGCAAATAACTGATAAATAAAGTAAAAACTTACCTGGGCATAACCCCGGCACAGATACCTGTAACAAAGATGTCGACGGCCTCTATGCTTAAGCCGGGGATTAGGTCGGTGGTTAAGAGGAAAGAAAAGGATACTTTCCAGGTAGCCTTAATAAAGGCAGGTAGATCTTGCTCGTTGCAATGCACTCACTTCACAATAAACACGTCCGTTCAGTTCGACCGCTCGCACGAGAATGAATCGAAACCGATCTAATCTAACCTCTATCACTATCTACATGTAATAATTCTACAAATAAATGTGAAAAGTGGTATCTGTCTGATGTACCACTACGGTAATAATAATATTTATCTACATCTACGTACCATATCTAAACTGTTATTATTTGACATATTTTCTACACAAAACAACTGAAGAGAACGAAACGAAGTTCACATTTTATTCAACAGTCAACAAAACAATCTTTCTCTGTAACATAACCAAACATCTGTTTTTAATTTTTTATTATACCTATAAACAACACGCATGCGCAAATTTCAGATCATTCTTTAATCTGACAAATAAGCAAGGGCGACTAAGCTTAATGCTCATATTTTCTATATCTGAGCATTAAGCTTACATTTTCGTAATGGGATCGAATCATCAGCATCAGAGTGAATATTCGTAAGGCATTTTCTTGTTCCGACCACTCCGATGCAATTATCGTAAACCCCTATTGTCACTCACAAAATATGCTCGAAGTACAGTAAAGAGAATTAAGAGATACTGTTTCTAATTCGCTTTGATTTTCTAATATGCTGGACAAAATTATACACATGAACGCCTCCCTTTGTTGTTTTCTTTTTTAAATGCTGAAAGTCTTAGCAAAACTACATCAGCTACAGCAACACGCTTTTTCCACAGCATAATTGTTTTATTTGCTGTGCTTTTTCTTCGAAAGAGCCATTTTAAAATAAGTTCATAATTCGTAAGCACAGTATAATTAGTATACTGTGCTCGTAAGCAATAGTAACAGTATAGATGCACATTACTCAGCTCGTAGCTCCACCCGGATCCGATTACTCGTAAATGTAAATGCCGCTTAATAATAGATGTGAGTATACCTTGCATGGAGACGTCTCCCTGATACCTTTATCCTTTATGGAGACTAAGCGACATAACCTCATTACTTAAAGCCTCCATTTCTCTGTGGGTTATGATAATTTAATTCTACTGTAGAAGTTTTGGTGTGATTATGGCAGTCCAGGCTTTATTTTTCAAAACTTGTAGCCTTTTATCAAATAGCCGATCTTTCTTAAACAACAGGTAAATAAGTATAATATTTTTAGTTTCCAGTAAGATTTCATTTAAATTTTAGGGTACTAAATGTTAATCTACTTCCATCAGTAAGAAATTTAAAACAGGAAACTCTTGAAAAGCTAAAACTGTTGAAAATCCCAGAGAAACCGAAGAAACCTACCACCCCGTACGTAAAATTTATTGCAGAGCATCGCATTAAAGTTGTAAAAGATAACCCAAATCTAAAACAAACCGATATTATTAGAAAATGTGCAGAGGATTGGAAAGAAGTTAGTCAAGAACTTAAGGAAAAATATAATGCAGCATATAAAAAAGAATGTGTAATATATGATGAAAAGATATTAACCTTTAATGCTAATCTTACTCCAGAACAAAGACAAGCACTACAAATTGTGAATGATGAGAAAAAGTCAAGTAGGCAAAAAAGAAAAATCAAAAAGGTAAAAAAAGCTTTATAAAACAAGTTATTTATAAAACTAACCAAAAGACATTTTTGTTTTAATTAAATATTAAAACTGTTTATTTATATTTGTATATTTTATTAGATTGAAAAAGAAACTAATAAACCTAAACGTCCTATGGGTGCCTATGCGCTGTATGTACAGGAACAAAGTAAAATCAGAAATATCTCTAATAAAGATCTGATACCAAGTTTAAAAGTTGAATGGGAAAAGTTATCAGAAGAAGAAAAGAATAAATACAGAAGCCAATTTTTAAATGAAAAAGAAAAATATGAAACAGGAATGGCAGAATGGGAAGAAAAAATGATAAAGGAAGGGAGAGATGATCTTATTAGAGTCAAATCTAGGAACAAACAAAAAATATCCAGAGTAAGTATAAATAAAAGACATCAATCGAGACATTTAATAAAAATGTTATAACTTATGGTGAGTTTTTAAAAGGGTCTTAACCCTAACTTAGTCCTAACTTAGTCTTAATCTTTACCCTAAGAAGTTAAACGTACAGACTTCAATGTACAGGTTTATAAAAATCCTAACTTAGTCTTAGTCGTAAGATGGTCTTAAGACCTGACCTTGAAAGTTCATATATTTTTATTTCTTAGGACTAAGACTGAGACCATAACAAGTACGCATGCACAAAAGACCGCCATTTCTCCCTCCGGCGTTGGTGGAGGTGCGTCTATATTCGAAATAAATGTTGGACTATAGCTCTTGGGTACCTGGCATATCTCCGTCAAAAATGAATATAAAAATCTGAAATTTTAGGGGTGTACTCTAGATGGGGGGACCTAAGAGCGCACGTAATTTCAACTCGTCCCTTCCACCCTAGGGGGCACGGAGGGGGTGAGGGGTGGTTTTTTTTAAACTACCCCCGGAAACGCGTTCTTGCCGAATTCGCACAAAAACCAAAATCCACCTCTTATGGACTTTGTCGTTTTGTAGATAACTATAATTCTTGGGTACCTGGGCATATCTCCGTCAAAAATTAATACAAAAATCTTAAATTTTAGGAGTGTACTATAGGCGGAGAGACCTAAGAGCGAAAGTAATTTCAACTCACCCCTTCCACCCTAGGAGGTGCGGAGGGGGTGAGGGGTGGTTTTTTGACATACCTACAAGAACGCGTTTCCGGGGGTAGTTTTACGCGTAGAACCCGAAAATCGCAAAATAAATAGTGTATGTCTAAAAAAAACACCCCTCACCCCCTCTAAGGTGGAAGGGGTGAGTTGAAATTACGTGCGCTCTTAGGTCTCCCCATCTAGAGTACACCCCTAAAAATTCAGATTTTTATATTCATTTTTGACGGTGATATGCGAGGTACCCAAGAGCTATAGTCCAACCGACAAGTTTTAAATTTACGCACACGACCACATCTATTACGTTTTAAATTGTAATAAGCAACACAAACCGCAGCCGAAGTAACCAGCAAAGTCATTGCCGTAACTATTTTAATGCATTTTTTAGCAGTATCCATTTTCAAGATATTAAAATCCACTTATTAATCTTATTATAAGTTACAAAACAAAATATTCAAATATAAATAAACAACATTTACGCTTTTGCGCATGCGCGCAATGAAGTCATAGATTGATCAGTTCTTAGGATTATGTTAGGACCACAGACCACCTAGACTGGCCATATCTAATTCCAGTGCACGGGTACAAGTGAATGCAAAATCCGGGGAAGTGGAGTGTGGAAGGCAATCTGATCGCGCGCATCTTTAAGCAGATCCGGATTAAGTAATATTTTTATTACATATTAAACATTATATTGCATCTTATGACAAATATTCAATTTTATGTTTGTAATTCAGAAAATAGTATATTTTAGTGTCATATTAAATAAAACTACAAAATAATTTAAATATATTTATTATCCTCTAAATAATATTAATTTATTTAATATTTGCCATTTCGTAGATTTTACCGAATTAAATAATTTGACTTCATGATTTATTCATACATCGATATACTTTTCACATTCAGCTCTTACAAGTTCTATTAAATGATTACAATTGTTAGGCAAATTATCAAATTGATGTTCATGCAAATTTTCAAATGTTCACATTCAGAAAGTTTTTTAATACATGATAAACAATTTTATTTTTCTGTAGCCTAGGTGTTCTGCTTTCAACATTATTAAAAAATTTTATTAATTTTTCTGTTTCTTGGCATATTACTACGACATCTCGAGATGGATACGTCAAACAACCATGATTTTTAATAAAAATTAATTGACTGTACGAATACTGTGTATTTGACATTAAACTATTTACACAGTTTTCACATTTATTGGCTTTATTAAAGAACTTGTTACGAAACTGCCAATATATACTATAATGTGCTTGCTAGTGTCCAGTCCTGTTTTTTAATAGCCTTCACCCATCGTTGTTTTATGTCAACATTCCTTGGAAATCTGTAAAAATATAAATATTAGGTTTGAAAAATCGAAGCATACTTAATTTTTTTTTTTTTCACAAAATCTCTGATTTTTCTAATCACATTTTGCCAACTCTCCTATTCCACGGTGCTGAACATGAATCTGAAATTAGTTTTGTTTGAGATTTTTTCAATTGAAAAAAATATTTAATTTTCAGCCATCTCGAAATGACGGGAATTGATAAAATTTCATAAAAATTTGAGACCCATAAAGTAAATAATTACTAAAAATATTTTACAGTAATTCATTCATTATTTTATAATAACAATATCACGTTAATCACTACAGTATGTGGGCGAACAAAATTGTAAAGCTAACCCTGGAAACTTGTGACGTCTACCGAAAAATGGCGTACATATTTACCTTTTATATATTCCTTTTTTTTACTTACCTAAAGAAGGAAACTTATCGCCTCTCTTCACCAACTCGATCACTTCTATGTATACAATGTTTTACAATACTCTTGGCCATGATAAAACGTCTAATTATCGAAATCACAGCGATGCATACACGTCAAATGCTAGGACACGACTGAGCGCTGCGCTGCGCTCCAAATCAGGCTCCTAAGTGTTTTCACCAAAGTCGCTCTATAAGCCAGTCTAGGTGGTCTGTGGTTAGGACTAAGTTTTTATAAACTGCGTGAAAATATTAGGATTAAGACTAAGACTAAGGTTAAGATTAAGGTAAAGTTAGGGTTAAATTAGGACTAAGACTTTTTTATAAACTCTCTATTAAATAAAAATAAAAATTTTGTGAAAAGTAAGAACATAATATGTACAATCCTTTTTGAGATTTCAGAGGAAGATACCACAATTTTATTTATTTTTGCAAATTTCATTTGAAATTTTTTGTCATAAAAATCATTCCTTAAGATTCGGGAGGGATTCCACGCTTCATCATTAAAATATTGTCATTTTAATATTCATCAACCAGCACTGCAAAATAGTTAATGTTTTAAGGAACTTAAATTTATCAATGTTTCTCCCTTCTAATGACATGAGATATGAGGATGATATACAGGGTGTTCCTTAATGATATTCGAATATTTAAGGGTGTGATTCTACATGGAAAACTAATGATAGTTTGCTTTGTAAACTATAGTCCAAAAATGTTCTGTTGCAAAAATATGGGGTGTTAAAATTTTAGGAAAAACAAGGAATTAATTAATATTTTCAAAACCGCTTGAGATATTTCAATGATATTTAGTACGTACTGATAGTTAATAAAGGCGCATGTTTTTCAATACAAACATAATTTTTAGCTCTAACAGTGGCATGCTTACGAGCACTGACTTTGATATTAAAAAAAAAACGGTACGCAAATGGTTTTTTCCCAAATAAAATTACTTTTGAAACCCTCGTTCAATTCGAAAGATAAGAGCTCTCTTGAGTTTTTGAGAGGCAGCTCTTTTCTAATTAAGGAACCAAATATATTTTTTAGGTGAAAATAAAGAATAGTTTATTATTAACCAAATTAAATCAGTTACTGTGTGCCATCTTTTCATGTACTTTCTCATAAAAATGTCAATTTTATCATCCGACGATTCATTTTTGATTTACCATCATTATATGTTTTAAATATAATCCTGTCATTTAAAATGCTTATTTTTGAGGTATTTTTAATTCTGCAAAAAAGTTGAATCAAACACTCAAAGGCCAAAGAAATCTCAAGGTATTTGAACCATGCACCGTTAGAATTCTTATGATATTGGATTTGTTTATTTTATTAAAGATACTTCATTTGTTGTTACAAATTCTTTAATCTTTTAGAAAGTACAAATCCATCCAAAAGGCGATTCAACTACCATAAGTGGAATATCACTGAATAGAATAAATATGTTTTTTAAAGATAAGATCATATTTAAGAGAATAAAGTTGATGATAAAATGTTATATGACATTTCTATGAAAAAGTCTAGTTTTAATAATAAAATCAAAAATTAAAACAAAAAATTGAAGAATCCATTTTTTAAAATAAAATAATCAGTTTATATCATTTCCATAGCTTCAAATGGTGCATTCTTTTTTAATTTGATCTATCTTTCACCGTTTTCAATATCCCCATGGATTTTTTTATCTCAAACACGTATGCTTACCAAATATCTTTTTCAGATTAATCAGTTGAAGAAAGACAGTACCCAATAGGGACACGAGTGTCTTCACTCAAATTCATCCGCCAGTGCGGGTGAAGGCACATTGTTTCATATTGAAACAAAAGGTTGGAAAACAAATACTATACTCTATAGTAAAGCTAAGGAACCAGTAGCATGTAAGGATGAGAGGTCACCATCACAGGAAGCTGCGACTTTAAGTTCTTTTGTTTCTAATAATCGGATTGATGTTAATATGGCGGATAACAGAGGTGATAGTTTAGATCTACCAAGAGAAAAATCATTTAATAAACCAGGAAATGTAGACACTGCAAATTGTGACCTCAAGAATTTCAAGATACTTGATAAACTAAATGAAAATCCCTCACAAGACTTGACACAGAAAGATGGGTCTGAAAATCGCAAAAAAGAGAAATTTAGTATAGTGAAAAAGTTTCTAAACTTCTTAAAATTTTAATTTTAGTATTTTAACGATTTTATTTTATAAAAACGTGTTTTTTTTTAAATAAATAGCAGGATTTAAATGTTATTATTTGTCAGTACGTAAGTTTTCAGGACAGAGGCGATAAAACAAAAAGAAAACAGATGAAACAAATGCAATATGTATTTTTTAAATTTCTTGTGTTAGGTAATTCTGTCTTAATAAGTTAGTATAAAGTTTGTGGATAAGGGGAATGTTAACGGCAACAGAATATGTTTATAAATCAGTCTTTAATTTTTATTGTAACAAATGTTAAAATCAATTTTAATCTATTGGATTGGGGAAAAAGTAATGTCCATTTTTTTTTAAATTTAAGATATTTTATTTTTAATTATAATCATCAGTAAGCGAATCAGTGATCTATTCTCCATCATTATTTTTGACCCCCTCCAAATATTCAAGTTTCTCGATGCCTGTTCTATAGAAATCCTACGGTTTTAACTCGAAAAACTCATCCAACCAAGCTCTTAACTCTTAAGAACGGAAGAGGTGAAAACCAGAAGGTGCGAGATCGGGAGAGTAAAGCGGGTGGGGCAGAACCTCCCAGTTCAACTCCCGAACGGCCGTTTTGGTCATATTGGCGATGTGGTTGTGCATTGTCATGTTGCAAAAGAACGTTGTATCACCGATCAGGTCTTTTTTGTCGAATAGCCATGTGGAGTCATGTAAGTTGTTGAACAGAGAGTTCTCTTTTGACGGTTTGATTGTTTGGTGAGAGTTCGTAATAAAGAGTCCCTTTCCAATCCTACCAGATGCCTAACATTTTCTTTCGAGGATGAAGTTCTGGTCCTGTTCGTGGAGTTGCTTGTTTTTTGGGATTAATTGTTCTTTCCGCCGTTTTAAATTCACATACCATTTCTCATCACCAGTAGCAATACGATGAAGAAAATGTTCCTTATGACTACTTGTTGATCGATGATGACAGAGCAAACCAATAGCAATGACAGAACGTTGACTTTTATTGTTTTTGTTCAAAACATGTTAGGTAATTAAATAACATTTTGTTTTTTAGAAAAAATTTATCTAGTATTTTTGATTTAGTTGCGCTCCATATGTGTGGGTTGAATGTATCTTCACTATCAACTTGAATAATAAAGGACGGAAATTTCTCAGTGTACACCGAATGTAAAATAATTTGAAACTAATTATTCTGTGAAAAATCGTGTTAAATTTCAAGATTTACATTAGCAATTTTAAAGGTAAATATGTTATATATGTTTGTAGTATAATTTTTATATTATTATTAAGTTAGATGTGGGAAATTATTTTAGAAGTGATTTCAAACGAATCCAAATTTTGAATTTAAGAAAGGACAATTGGACAGGAAGATTTTGCAGCTTCGATATATTTAGAAATACTATATATTTAAGGAGTAAAAAACTTAAAAAGGAGCCTAAATTACTTATTGAACTCCGACTCCTAAAAACCGGAAATCTTGATCTGCTTAGGACTAAAAAAGTGAAGTAGACATTTAGTCCTTTTTAATATAATTTATAATGTAAAGCGAACACTTAACCATCGGAAAGACATTAAATTGTTAGAAACTTGATACATAGCTTACTGGTTGTCAAATTTTTAAAAATGTAATTCAAAAAGAAAAGGTATTTTAGTTTTTTATTTAATATAGAAAAATAAATGCATTTTACCATTTAAATATAAATAAATGCATAAGGCACTTAGCTAATATAAAGTATCATACACTAATTACCTATACCAATATAATTTGTAATAACCAATAGCTCACAGTAAAAACAAAAAAATATATCATAATATCTTGCACAATATTAAAAAAAAACTGAAAATATTCTACAAAATTGGCAAAAAGAGAATTTCTGATATTAGTTAATAATAAAATTGATGTAAAAAAATTCGAGGAATTATTAGGAGGACCAAAACAATATTCCACAATTTCATAAATTATTAAAGGTATGAAAATTTTATTTAAATAGATTGATTTTACGTCAATTTGAAATAAGTCAAAAACAACTAAAATGCAACTTAAGACAAGAGGCATGAACAGAATGAAAAAATTTCGGTAACTTCTATGTTCTGCGACTTCAACATGACAATTTGAAACTGATTCATTTGCTATTGACCTCGGATTTCGAAAAATGGTTTCAAGTTCTACTGAGTTTGGTGACGCTTTATCATGTCTAGATATGGATACTTCGGCTGTACTGTTACTTAATCGTATAGATTCTGCTTCATTTTCATATGATGCATTTAACCCAATACCTGAAACATGGAAAGCAATTCAAATTTAAATTATCTTAGTTTTTAAAGTTACCATCTAATTCGCTTTTAGTGGTCTTCTCTTCAACTCCAGAAATTTTCTTTAATCTCTTTTCGGAATTTTCAAGAATTTTTCGTCGTCTAGCTTCTCTTCTAGCTTCAATATCAGCCATTAGATGAGTTAATTTAAATTATAAATTGTTTATTGTATTTTAGTGAATTACTTTTATGACGATATTTTGAATGTCATGTATTTCATATTCGAGGTTACTTTCCTTCTTCTTCTTCTACATTCTCATTTCTTAGCTAATGTCATCCATGAACATGTTTTGTTGGGGATATTTGGCTCCAGTTGCCCCTAGAGTCCCTAGACTGTCAATCATTTTGATCAAAAGATTGCGTCAATTGACTGACCGCTTTCCTACACCGGCCGCATTTGCGGTCGGGCGGGGTAGACGACGGATGGGGCCCACCTACGAAGGCTGTCCAGGCCTACACGAGATGAGGCAGGATAAAGAGGGATAATCCCCCTCGATCCCAAATCATTGAGGCCAATTTCTAGACATGGAATAATGGCGCATAGGTATGTGAACATTACGAATAACAATCTGAACCCGGCTTAATGTCGGGGAATAACCTAGCTTTATGCGCGTAAGTGATAACATCTTGGCCTGGTATAAACAAAATCAGTTATCCAATCATTTCTGAATATTGTTTTAGATGTGGATTATGCGATGTGCATATAAAAATTATTTTAATCGACAGCATTTATTAACATTTTTAATTTACCAAAATTAATTATTTTTCTTTAAAATGGCATCAAATGAAAGAGATGTTAACAACGTAAATTTGAAAAATGTAAGTACCTACTTATATAATTTTTGTTAAAATAAAATCAATTAATTTCATAGCTACTATTTTTCGATTTTAGGTATGTGTCGTACAAAGAGGGAAAAAATATTATTATCCTAAATCTATTCCCCAGGAACGAAGTTCTTTGTCTAATTACATTTGTTTATTTATTAGTTTTGGATTATTTGTAGGTAAGTTAAGAATTATGTTTAGATAAATAGAGAAAATCATGTCTTTTTACAATGTATTAGGATGCCTTTTGCTGATTTTGTAATGTTTAATTTAATTGGGTAAAATGTTAAATTCGAATCATAATAATATATGCTTTAAAACTTATTTTTGCAAAATTGATATGCAGTGCGGATTATCTAGATCAAGGGTCGGCAACTAGCGGACCGCGGTCCAGGTCCGGACCGCGGAAGGTAAAATACTGGACCGCCAAAAATTTTTTGAACGTATAAATTACTCAAAAAAATTATTTAAAAAATGTTTTTTACGTTTAAGTGCCAACCTTATCATTTTTCTAGTATTTTACAATTGTATGAGTACTTAATGGTTAGTAAGCAGATTAAATTTGAGTCCAAATTAAAATAAAAAAATATGAATTTTTTTTTATGGACCTCGTTAAAAATTTTCAGAAGTATCCGGACCCCACCTAAAATTACTTGCCGACCCCTGATCTAGATATTTTGTTTCAATATTTTTTGTATCTACTCTGATATACATTACTATAATTTCTTTAATTTATCGCAGACATTACATTTTAAGCACTTTATGTAGCCAGTTTTAATGTGGCCTATTGTTTATATAATATATTTCGTATCAATTCAGATAGATGCACTCCCTTTTTTATAATTATTGGAATGAAGATAAGGTGTGCACCAATGCTTTAAGGATATTTAAATATAATAGCCTAACAAATATTAGATGTAAATACCTATGTAAATATTTGAAAATCCTTACTTGAAAACATAATATTCTTTGGATATGTTTAAGTAGGAACTTGAAATATTCAATTTTAATTAGTCACAGTTTCTAGGCATTTGAAGTTTCAGTTCATTTCTAGATAATGAAAATTATAATTAATTATGCAAATCTCGGTACTTCAGCCAATTATTAGAGGGAACCCCAAATATCAATAATTACTACATATATTAAAAAAAAAAGAATTATATTTGTTTCTGATATAAACCCAGTAATAATAATATTATAATAAATTATATTAGGTACCTAATAAAAAACAAATATGAAAAATAAAATTAGTTCTAATCTTCTGAAAATTTGTACTATTTTTCAGTGGATATCCTCACCAATGAAAATAAAGTAGCAACTGTTTTTGGTAAGTTACATTTTTAGCTGATATGCATACATGGTAATTAATAAATGAACCTGGCTGGCAGAAGAGCATTAAGGCGATTTCTAAAAAGTGGTGTTTTATTGCAACTTAGTCTGTATCAAGTTACTTTGTTTAGCTGTTAGATATGGCTTTAAAGTTTGCAATAATTTTTTTTCCAAATAGCTCAAAAACTATCCAATGTAAATGGTATGCTAGTGTGACTTTTTGATATAGTAATCTAAATAAATGCATATACGGAGTTGGGAAAAATAGTCTCAACTCTAAACAAATGTATTCATATTTTTTTGGCAGGTAACCTGTAGATGTGGGAATTCTAGTTTCTTTGTGGGAACTAGTACACTCAGTCTCAATTATAAAAATGAATAGTTCACAAAATTAATTCTTCAGTTCATTTTACTTCAATTATATCTTAATTTTCCATCATGTGCAAACTAAAATAATATAGTTTTAAAATATCACTCGTTTTGAGGAATGATTAATATTGTCTATAAAGTATTCAATATTTTTAACCCAATTATAGTTACCCAGTCTGTGATGTTTATAGTATATTTCTCTAATTTTCCTAGATTAAAGATCTATTAGTCCATAAAATCTGATGTATTCTAGGTAATAATAACAAAATACATTGTTGCCGTATTATTTCTCTAATGTCAAGAACACATCTTATTTTTGTTCCTTGTGCTTGCCTAAATCCGATGCCAGTTATGTGGTTAGTTTCTTTTCATTCACTTGTTTCTCTGCATGAACTAGCTAGTGAAACTGTATAGATCATATAGTTCACCATAGATAAATAATGATATATGTAGTTCATTCAAATTTGATACAATTTACAAAATGGGACATATCTGAGGGAATTATTTTTTTTAACCAAATTACGTGTTACTAAAAATGATGATTATTTCCAGTAATTCTCACAAAAAATATTTGATTAAAAATTTCTGTACTTTCTAATCTAGAAAAATAATTTAAAAATATATATATTTTGACACTATTAATTTTTAGATAAAACATTCTTGGTCTTCTTATTCTATTTTATTTGCAATTAACTTTACTATTTAAATAATAAACTTTACATTGCAGCTATGTACTTATTAGGAGTATTAGTGAGCGTCAGTTTACAACTTTTGTATCGAATCGTTCTGGTAAAGGAAGAATTCCGTCATCTTACTTCACGATATGGGGGATGTGTCAGTAATTTACTGAAAAATGCTTTCTACTTTCCTACAAAAGTTTGGATAGCACTCGCTTTTTCTGTATTTTATGCTGTGTATTATTGTTGCACTAACAATGTTACTGAACTGCCATTCAACTTTAAAAACATTGCATTTTTGATACCAAGTATTTACTTTCTGACTTCTCAGTTGAGTTTGGTAAGTAAATGAAATTATTGAATTTTTACAAAATACTGGGTGTCTAGAAAACGAATTGCACTACACATTTTTACGTTCTTGCCCTATTGAAATTAATTTTTTTATTAAATTTGTAGCTGTACTTATTTATATGTTGCATATATGTTTTATTATTTAAACCAATTTACCCTTATTCAAATGTTATCGTCTAATGAAATATATGTTTGAGTGTACAGTACAAACAACATCAAACCGATATTTTAGTGAGTATTGACTTTTAAATAGAGGTAAATTGATCGAAATCGCAAAGAATAGTTTAAGAAAGGTACATATTTATTAAAAGGAAGGAAGTTTAATTCATTTAATAAAATACTTGGCACTCTGTAACTTAATGCAGCAGAATAATGTAGCAGAAATTAAAAAAAAATATTCTAAATTCATATTTGGTAATAAATATAGTACTTTTTTGATATTGGGATTAAACATATTTTAGTACCCAGTCAAACCAAACCTAATATCAGCTGATCAATTATTCTTAAAATGACTTTTGTTGGGGACTTTGAGTTTACTATTTGCTTATATAACCAATCTTAACAATAATGCAGTGGTGACTAGTGGTGGGCAAGATCCGCATCATACGTATAAATCATACGGATCTCTAGTGGGAATCGATTCATGCAGATCCCGATGCAAAAATAATTTCGTATGCATCACCACATCAATGTAAGTTGAGACTGAAGTGAAGTGATTCTCGTATGCGATACAGCAATGAGTAAATGGGAGGCGCACGCATACTGGGAATCAGTTCATACGTATACCGGTATAAAAATAATTTCGTATATTCGCATCACCGCATCAATGCGAATTGGGAATGAATCGGTCTCAACACTCTCAACTGATTCTCGTGTCCGATACAGGTCGATGAGATACAATGCATTAGAAACAGTTTAGTGCATAGGAAACTAAATATTGAAATAAATTATATGAAATTGTGTAGTCTGAAACAAACTTATAATGTAAAAAGTAATTGTCAGAGTGATGTGTATTTCGTATTTAAATGTTGAATCGCTTGACCAAAAATAAATTTAAACATTAATTAATTTGAAAATAATTTGATTCTCAACTTGAGTTCAAATATATTATTGCTTCGCTTCTACTTAAGTTCATCGTTCTGCTAAAAAATGAATTTATAGATGATTGCAAAAAATTTAACGGGAATGAGTGAGCGGCAAGCCCACACATTTACAAAATGTACAAGTACAAACTGTACTTGTACATCCACAGTGAATACGATTCCCTGATGCGGATCTTTTGATGCAGATCTTTATATCGATACATTTCGCATCATGCGGATCATTAAAAAGATCCGTATTGCCCTTCTCTAGTGGTGACTGGTGAAAATTAAGAAGTTTATATCGTTTTTTAGGAAATAATTTCTATGCTCACATGGAGAACTTTCATGACAGAATTTTTGAAAGAAAAAATTTAAAATGTGTTGTTGGCCTTGAGATCTTGAAAAAAATATTTTTTTTTCATAATCAACTGACATACATTATTTAGAGTAATAACACTAGTCAAGTGATTTAAAATACGCGGTGGTACAAGCAGTTGTAATAAACTGGAAAAATATGATCGAGAACAGATTATAAAAGATGTATGAGTTTCGTGAACCAGTTGAAGAGAAAATGGACTCTAAATTATATGCCAAACTGTGCCAAGCTTGTGAATATAAAAAAATCTAAATACCTCATTTGTCACTTCTAATACTGCATCTACCTGTATAAATAGGGTTGTCATGCATATCTCCTATTTTAAATATGAGTCTCATATATATTCACTCTTCCTCATATCCCATATTACCATGTTCAATATGAGCCTATTTCTAATATATTTTTATAATGAAAAAAGTATTTCATTGAGACATGCAAAACTACAAAAATATATGTTTCCTAAATTTTAGTTTCTATGCTAATCTTCAATGTGATATAATTAATGTGCAATATTATACATTATACTTAGAATAATAAAGTTTTTTTTATTTTTGTTGATTTATTAAAGATTTGGGTGTCCTACATGTACGTAAAATATTCTTATATGTAGGTATATTTTTAACGATCTCATATAATTTTATACAGACTACCCTATTTTTGAAGAATATATCTGGCAACCCTAGCTATAAATGATGTTGAAAACTATTGTGACAGTTTGGAGCAGTTCAAAAAACGAAATAGTCTGTGTATAATGGATTTAAAAGATATAGAGTTTGAAATTCTACTTCGACTGGTTTCATCTTTTATTTTAGATTATTAATTGGGAACCTCATGATGACATTAATTATGTTTTTCATCGGGAAAAGCTCAAAATTTCTTTCTTCGTGGGCCTAGAAAGCATCCCATAAAAATTGCACAGCTCCTACATTTATTATCATAATATGACCACTTTAATTTTCACCAGCCCGCCACTCTATTAAATTTACACATTTGTTTATTATTCAACTTTGTTTTGTAGGAGACTAGTTCTCTCAATGATTCTCTATGGATTGCTAAAGACAATGGTTTAGATTATGGTTCAGGAATGGCTTACTCATTTTTCCATGGTTATTTGAACTTGGTTCTTCCAAAAACAGGAACGGAAGAGAAAAATTTGAAAGAGTTGATGGAAGATTATGAGGCTGAAAATCGTATTTTGTTTGCTGCTTATAAGTTATTTATTTTAATTCCCAAATCTTTAGAATGTTTTGTTAGTTTAAAAAATGAACATTCACCTTCTGTGGATGAAAGTCAAGTAAGTTTTCAGATCTAATACCGATTTGTTACTCATAATACAGGGTGTAACTTTAAGTGGGGTCATATTTATACAGAGGCTTGCTTTTACCTTTAGAAACATGTGTCAGTAGTTTATTTTTTCAAATTCAATCGTAAAAACTTAATTTTTTTTAACCTTTTTTTAGTAATTTTCGTACTCTGACGCTGGAGAAGCTAGTATAACCTCAAATAAGAGTGTGCTTTAGTCACAGCGCATGGACAATTCCACACCATTCGCTATGAGTTACTTTTGTCGAGTGGGTGTTTGCCACACAAACAAGTAACCTAGCAAAAAACTCGAGCAGTAATCAATAATGTTATATGAAATTATCAAAAATAAATAGTCTGTTAATGGTTTCCAACGATGAAGAATATTCAAATTCACAGTTAGATGTACTGTCTCCAAATGTGGAACAACTGACGTTCTTCATTTCGTCACTGTTTACAGGCGTTATCTCCCTTCACGTGCATTGTAGGTTGCCTACAATTTATGTATTTGTAATACATGATTACAGTGATGGCTTACACAAGTATTAAAGTGCATTTTAAAAACTAATTATAACTCGACTATTTATTTGATTAAAAAAAAGAAATTTCAGATTCGTATTTAGGGGAACACGTACTATTACCCCTAAAAAATTTACCCCCACTTAAAGTTACACCCAGTATACATTTCAAAGAAGACATATTTTAAATCAATAGGTAGAGGATAATAAAAGATTCAATTTGGCATAAATATAATTTTTTTTTCTTCATTATTGTGAAAAGAAATTTCGGAAAACTTTTTTTAGAGTTAAATTTTACCTATTTTTTCTGTAATCACTTATTATTTAAAATCGATCATTTACTATGTTAGCACTTTTATTTATTATTAATAAATGTTTTGGATATCCATCTTCAACTTACTTGCTTTCAATAAAATCATTGACTGGTTCACATTTTAAATTTTAGTCACTGCCTGTAAAAGAAATAACAGTAGCTGGGGTTCAGAAAAGGGTATACAAGAATGCGGTTTACAAGATCAATACTGGAAGGTTGGATGAAAAAATTTATGTAAGTGCGGAGTATGCTACTCCTCTCAGAACATTTTTGGAAGTTGTTAAACACACTGGAAGACACACAGGTAAGCTCCATCAGCATTCTGTTAAATATTATCAGATTCAAATTTTTGAGTGTACAATTTTAAATTTAAACTTTGTTCGTATTATATACTTGTATATTTTTTAGAATACTATGACAAACATAAGAATGATATCATTCTGCAGTTTTATTTAACTTTGAAACAAATTCTGAAAAGAACCGGACTCGACGAATTTTGTGAACTTATATATTACGAAGGTAAGTTACTTAGATCCTACTAATATTTTAAATTATTTACTAGGTTTATCCTGGCTTATATACTCTGTCCGTTTAACAACCTGTTCTTCTAATAATAGTGTTATCTTTGGTCAGGGAAAAAATCTGATTGCCTGTATAGTGTAAAAAGGCACCTATTAAAATTAAAATATTTTTTTAACGGAATACTTAATTTTCTATTCCAATTCAAGCCCTCTTAAATCTTCTTTATTTCGCTAGATTTATTTTGACCTTCAAATTATTTTTTGGTCATTAACAACAGTTCGTGTAAATTTCTACTACATCACGAGGTAGTTTTCTTTATAAAATTTTAGAGGGTCCTTTCCGTTTCTTAGAAAATAATGTTAGAACAAAAATATTTTATATGTGCCCAAAATTATTTTCAGAATGTTAATATTATACAATGATTTTTTTTCAATTTTTTTATGAAACCCTGTATTTCTTTTACTTTTAGTACCTAACCCTGTATTTTGTAACATGTAATAACTACTTCCTCTTTATTTTGGCATCAAAAAGTCTTGTCTTGTTTATTTTTTATGTGACTCCGACTTAGTGAAGCAATCGAGATATTTACTATAAAATACTTTTTTCAAGTGGACACCCTGTAGAATGAATCTTCTATAAATTGGGGTTTTCTTTTTCCTATAGTGTTTTTTAATGTATCTGTTACATTCCAGTGGTGGCTGGTGAAAATTATTAACACTCCATTTTTCAAATTTCATATTGCTTTAATTGCGAAAAATTAAATCCTCTGCTTGTTATTTATTATGAAAAAAATATTTTGGAAATAAATGAGTAACCGTTTCCAAGATCTCAGTGCCAGCAACTCATACTAATTTTTTATGTCACAAATTCTGTTCCAAATTTTTTCCCAATGAAAAATCTGCGGACCTAGATATTACCCTCTAAAAAAAATTGTGTGTCCCTTGCTTTGTTATTAAAATGTGAGCAATACAATTTTCACCAACCACTTCTGCTAGCAAATTGCTACTTTATATACAAGTATATACCTGTATTACATTAATTAGTTAATTAATTACAGTCAGACCAGACTGACTGAATTTATATTTAAAATGAGATTTGACATGTTGAAAATAAGTTTGTAATACATAAAATAATACTCCTAATTATATGAAATTTGCATAAAAGAGAGATAATAGGTTTTAGCTACTAGGCAATCAAATAATTTTCGCTTACTATAGAGATAGACCCATCATCAAAACTTATACAGGGTGTCCCGGTGTCCCGAAATTAATGCAACAAAATTTGGTCATAGATTTTTAAGACAAATTTAGGAGACCAGTATTTTTTCTTTTTGCCAAGTGGCTCCCTCTTTCGGAGTTATAGCCCCCTGAAATCCGCCCCTAAGAATAATAATCTTTTTTTTTATATATCCGAACCCTGTTGTACGAGAATCGCAAAATTTTATACACAGGGGTTTTGTGACATGTAGAGTTAGCTAGAAAGCCATTGAATTTGGAAACATTTGTGTCTCTTGATACGTCTTTCGTAAACCGCAGTTTTCGAAAAAAATGTCAAAATGTGATCAAATGCATATCGCCATTTTCCTCAAAAACATTGGTTTTACGAGAAAAATATCTAGGGACAAAAAAGTTTCTAAATTCAATGGCTTTCTAACTAAATAATAATTTTTTAAAAATTCAAAGTTGTGCACAAATTTTTTTGGTTCCAAAGATAAGGGGGCCCACGAAAAAGTGTCTTAGGGGGTTTCTCGTCAAAAAGTGTAAATAGATTCCACATGTCATAAAACCCCTGTGTACCAAATTTAGTGATTTTCGTACAACAGGATTCTGAGATATAAAAAAGACTTCTTAGGGGCAGATTTCAGGGGGCTTAAGAATCTATGACCAAATTTTGTTGCATGAATTTCAGGACACCCTGTATGACTGTAATCATAAGAAAAATGTACAGAAAATATACATGGTCTATAATAAAATAATTGAATGTTTGAACTGACAAAATATTTGACCTTCAAAAATAATGGTAATGTGAGATGCCCATATGGGAAACACACTACATATTTCAGTTTAAAGAAAAATCATATGTATAATAGATGCCTCTGTTATCTCACTCTGTTTACTGAAATGGTATGGTACATATTGAAAAATATTATTTTTTAGATTATCCCCAAAATACGGAGGCAAACAGTACCCCTTATTATGACGTTGGTAAAATAATTTTGACAAGAATAAAGGAACTTAAAAAATATCAGCGTGAGAAGATCGAATAAACATTTTGTTTATTATATGTATCACCAATTTCTACTACTATGGAACTATTCTATTATACAGGGCGTTAATTAAGTATGTACAATAAATTTATCAGACAATTATTAGAGTGATTTTAAGACAAAAAGTTCATATCAACGTTGGTCCGCAGATGCTTCCTTTTGAAAATACAGGGTGTTAAACTTCTGTAAAAAATTGCTATTTTGTAAATATCTTAAATACCCCTTACCCAATTTTGTTGTAATTTGGCAGTTATTTTCTAGTACGTGTTAAGGGGCTAATTTAACCTTAACTTTATTAGGTCCAGTGGCGTCTCGATGGTACCTTAACGAATATTTTTGACGAAAAAAAAAATGTACACCACATACTTTTTTGTAATTTTTATATATTATTTGAACTAAAAATACAACTTTTTTGTTTCTTGAATGTTTTTCGTATTTTGATTAGATTTTGTAAAAAAAATAAAATCCACTTAATTGCATATCCCTGAACCACACAACAAACATGGGGAAAAGTTTCTTTTGGACATTATCAATTTTAAAATTTTTTATTAATAACATGTAACAACTAAATAACGTAAAGTACAAATAACACTGTCAAATTACAACAAAATTGGGTAAAGAGTATTAAAGATATTTACGAAATAGCAATTTTTTTACAGAAGTTTAACACCCTGTATCTTCAAAACGAAGCATCTGCGGACCAATGTTTATATGAACTTTTTGTCTTAAAATCACTCTAATAATTGTCTGATGAATTTATTGTACATACTTAATTGACACCCTGTATATTTTATTCCATTATTTTTTTATAACGTTTTTCAAACATCAAATGGAAGGAATTCGTTAATCTTTAAACCTTTTTACTATTTTTAAATTTTTGTTTAGTTGTTATATATTTTACAAACGAACCTGATATAAAATGTAACTTTTTATGCTTTTTTATTATATTTAGCTTATAACTACATTGTGACAATTTTAATAAAGTTTTATCATAATATCTGCTTAAATTTATTCTGAAGGGTAATTTATTACTACTCATAGATGATATTTAAAAAATAATGTAATTATTAATTTCCTACATGTAATATTCGTAATTTTAAATTTAGCAAAAACTAAATCTTTAAAAATATTTCGTATATACTGGGTGTTCCAGAAAAGACAGTCAAGGTTTTTTCCACACATTTAATTCATCAAAAACAACTTGTCTAATAATTTTTTAGAAAATCTCTTCGTGTTAAAGGTAAGATATTTTTTAAAATTGTATATGTTTGTTATAGTCTTTCCGATATCAATTGAAGATACGAACAGATTGACAGTATATGTACCAAGTTCAGTCGCTGACGCAGCAACTTGGCATTGAAATATTTGAAAAACTTATTCCCATATTTATTTAGCCATACCCGTATATAGGTCTGGTTGAACTAAACGTGGAGGTGGTAGAAATGTATACGCCCAGTTGAAGAATGCGAGCGCGGTCAAAGGAAAACAAACACAGTTGCATTGGGCTACCGGGCAATAAATTTCAGCAGTTGACAAGTGGTTGATAAATTACCCAGCAGTGCAGTGCAGCATTGCGGAATTTGGTGTGATTTAGGTAATTTTAATTTATTATAGGCACGTTCTATCAATCATTCATATTATAATTGCGAAAGGGAGAAATAACAGGGATATTTTGTTTACTAATATTATCACAACATGGCATTTTAGAGACCTTTTGAAAAGAAACAAAACGAAATTTACCACCAATATAATAAAATTATTTGAGGACATAAATAATTAAAATATGTTGTTGGACAAATGAACATATAATAGAAATTTTCTACGCATTATATACAAATTATTATAATTTTTTACCTTTAGCAGAAAACTTTTTTAGGGACGCTTATCAAACTCAATAAATTTTATTGCCAGGCGTTGCTTTGCATGTTCAACTGACTTCGGAAAGACTATACCTGTCGGTAGAATAGAAGTCGAAATGCTTAATTGAATAATAAACAAAAAAGTACCTGCATTAAATAGGAGTTGCTGCTCGTATTTATGCTAGCAAAAAAATTTAGGTAATCACTCCATGAAACGTTCACAAATATTACTTTAATAATTCTTTATTTCATAGGCTGCTTGTTAGCATTATTTTAATGGATATATAACATGTACTGAACAAAAATGTGAGTTTTCGAATAACATACTTCCCAATCGAAATTATGGATGGTGACTGAGACATAATATAAAAACATTATTACTATAAAGCACATTAAAATGATTTTTATAACGGTTCAATATTATTTGTCTTGCACATCGATAGGATCTATAGACTGAGTTACACTACACTGAACATCAATCTACCTTCTATTTCTGTCTATTGCAATTATAATACTTATAGGGAAACGCTTTTTTAGTGAGACGTATGTAGTACTTGATTTAGCCATCATTAGAAACGCCATAGAATAAGCGTATGCACGGGATTATGTACTAGATTGAAGGCACCTTCTGGAAAAGTATGAAGATTGATAATAACACATTAGAAGCGATATTGAATTTTTAGAAAGACGGGAGATTATCATGAAGATATGAACAGCGATGTATTTGAAAAATGATTTGAATGTGTTTTATCACATCTAGAACCAGGAGCAGTTGTTGTGATGGACCTTATCATAACAGAAGGCTTGAAATGTTACCGACACCAGCATGGAGAAAAGCAAATATTATAGACTGATTAAAATCGAAAAATATTGAATATATAGAAACCATGCTAATTAATAAAAATTGTCCAAATAGAAAAATCCAATTGTCCAAATAGAAAAATGTACATTAAGTATGTAGTCGATGAGATGGCCAAAACTCGAGGAATTCGTATACTCCGCTTACCGTCATACCACTGAATTAAACCCAATTGAGTTGGTTTAGGCACAAATAAAAAATGTCACGAAGTAATACCACCTTTAAAATAAACAAAGTGAAATTATTATTACAGGAAGCTATTTATTAATCATGTCACTGCTGAAACATAAAATATGTGAGGTCTTGATACAACAGAGTGGAAGTTTTCATAGAACCACTTCACTATTCATTTAGGGGAAAATCATTCCAGTGATAGTGATAGCAACAATGACAATTAAAAACAATGATAAAGTAAAAGTACCTATGATAGTGAAGTTGGCAGTGAAGTGAAAGCGTGACACTGAAGGGAAAATGTGACAGTGATAATATTTGTGTGATGAGACAATTATTATAAATATGTAGGTAAGTACTTAATATATTAATAGTCAACGTAACAATATCCTGCGGCCACCACCACTCGGTGGGTCATTGATGCCCAAGAGAGCATCCTTTTATAGAAAACACTTAAAATTTAAAAACAAAATGTTGCTAAAATATTTTTGAAGTTTTCTAGATAAAACCTCTAAAAATAATATATGTTATATTTTATTATCTTTTTTCCATATTTTCTATATCTTGTTTCCTTCTAGACCGATACGCCTATGGATTTTCGATCCCCACACGCTTCCTTCCTGCTTCATCCTCCTACGAGTCCAAGAGCTAGCCATGAGTCACTCTCCATAATTTCGACCGTGAAGTAGGCAATAATTGTAGCTTCGAGTTAAATACATGGTTAAAATTTTGGCACTTATTTCGGAGATACCCTGTATTATACTATTTATACTTTCGTTTTCATTATGTAAAATGTTTTTTTTTTTAATACCTATATATTTTAATGCGTCATATGACGTGAATTTACAACATAGTAAGTACGTATTCTTATATGTATGTATATGCCTATAAACATTTATTAATGCCATGGGCGTAGCAGAATTTTTGCTTGAGGTGGGCCCCAAACTCTATTTGGAGCCTCTAAAAAAAAATCTCGCACTCAGCAACTTGCCGAATAAAATTTCAAAAATCTGAACACGTTTTGATTTCATTCTAAAACACAAACGTCACGCAGTCTTGCTTATACTTTAATTTATGGACCTGGCAACATCAAAAATAACAATTTTTAACCCGGAAATCGGCCGTTGAGAATCGTCATTTTCGCATTTTTAGCAACTTAAATTGTTTATAACTTTTAAACTATCAATTTTAGAGGCATAGTGCATAGGAACTTTTTTGCTTATAATGTGCCAAAAAAACTTAACAAAAATTTTCCGGAGTGAAAAAACCAATTTTTACAATTTGTTTAAAAAAAGTTTATTTAAACGAATGTGCACCAGATTTCCGGCCGGCATCATCTTAATTCATGTTAAGGAACATATCACGAATCTGAATATGCAAAAAAATCGAGTCGGAAAATGTCTCCCACGAATACGAGGTTTTCACCTTGTCTAACCACCTGTGAAAAAAGTTCTAAATTAAATAAACTCTTGCGCCAACGGATTAATCAAGGGTTGATTATTTTTGTCGACTAACCAGAAACCTCACTGGGAGAAGCTGACAAATTAATAAATATGCACCAGTATATTACAGGTGGACCCAAATAAATGGATATATGTATACAGGGTGTCCCGGAAATGGTGGGCAATCTCTCGGATATGGATAGATAATGACAAAATAATGTCACAAGTTCATATAAAATTTTTTCCTCCGGGCTCACCCTGTAGAGTTATTAGCTCTTGAAGTTGAGAATTAAAAATGGTTTTTTTTCTGTAACTTTTGTATTTTTCAATAATTTTGAAAATTTTTTGGCTGGATCTATAATTTTTGAAGCTGCTTTGGATGATAATATAAAATCTTCGATAATAATTATGGGGGCCCGGGGCAAAGCACCCCCCACCAAAATTTCTAGAAAAACAATTTTTGTTCCACTATAGGTACCCCAAATTTTCCATCATTTTATAAAAATTTATGGTATTTTACGTAAAAAAAGTATACTTGTTGAATATCGTAGTTGGCTTTTACATATCAGAATAAAGGACAAATAATTTGCAATAGCAGTGTTCAAAATTATGAGAATTTGGACTTAACTAAACTAACTAAACGGAAAGTGCATGACAATCATAATTTTGTAACTAATATAATTCATAATAAATTCTCAATATTAGTTCCACCTTCTCTTATACAAATACGAGCTCGTTTAACAGAAGACTGTTGCACTCTCCATAACATTTCAGGATTTTGTCGTATTTCATTTGCACAATAAAAAATCCTTTCTTCTAATTCTTCTCTAGTGGTTACAGGTGTGGAATAAACAATATTTTTCAAGTGCCCCCAAAATAAAAAGTCAAGTGGGTTCATATCTGGAGTTCGGACAGGCCAATGATTAAGTCCACCGCGACCTATCCAGCGATTAGGATATACCTCGTTTAAATGGTCCCTTACTGCGGCACTAAAGTGAGACGGCGCCCCATCGTGCATGAATATCAGTGCATTTCTGGTTTCAAGATCAACATATTCTAACAGTTGTGGTAATTGATGCACAAGGAAATCTAGGTAACGTTGACCATTCAGTCTAGGCGTAACACAAATGGACCCGATAAGTAATAAGGACCAATAATTCCACTGCAAACATTAACATAAAATTGTCTTTGGTGCCTAGTTTCAATAATAGCGTGTGGGTTCTCATCAGACCAATAATGTAAATTATGGGAGTTAATAACTCCATTCCTCCCAAAACTTGCTTCGTCAGTATAGGTACAGAATTAATCTCGTAAACATAGGAGTTTGCTCATGTCTATGAAGGAACCATTGAGAAAACTGTACTTTTGCACAAAAATCATCAGGATTAAGAGCATGCACTTTTTGGATATGGTAAGGGTGATGAAGCTGTTCCCTTAGGATTCTTGCAACAGTGGTCTTTGGAACATTGGTAAAAGAAGATAATGACCTAATGCTAACTGTTCGATGAGCAGCAACTTCGTCCAGTATGGGGCACCCCTCTGTTTGCAGTAACAGGAGCAAACTGACCTAAAGACATTAAAATTTATTTAATATCCATTTTGTTTAATAATAGTAATCGTATTTTACCAGTTTCTCTTAATCTTTGATCAATACGTTCGAAAGTTTTGCAAACCGGAATCCTTCTATTAGGATAAGAATGCTGATAAAATCTTCTTGCTGCCGAAGCATTACAAAGAGCCCGCCCGCGTACATTAAATGCATATCAGCATATTCTTCATGGGAATAGGTACTCTATATTTTATAACAAATTATGAGTTATGAGATGAGTCTTAGATTTAAAACTACGTATTTGTTAAGTTTGACAATTTAATTGCCTTTGGCATACTCTGACATGTCAAAGCCAACCACGATTAAATCTGTGTTTCAGTTAAATAAAATGTCTCAAATTAAATGGTAGGTACCTTCCTCTTTAAACGGGTTTATCTCAAAAAATATCTATTTTATGGATATTCAACAAGTATACCTTTTTTACGTAAAATACCATAAATTTTTATAGAATGATGAAAATTTTGGGGTATAGTGGAACAAAAATTTTTTTTCTAGAAATTTTGGTGGGGGGTGAGATCCAGACAAAAAATTTTCAAAATTTATTGAAAAATACAAAAGACAGCAAAAAAACCATTTTTAATTCTCAACTTCAAGAGCTAATAACTCTACAGGGTGAGCCCGGAGGAAAAAATTTTATATGAACTTGTGACATTATTTTCTCATTATCTATCCATATCCGAGAGATTGACCACCATTTCCGGGACACCCTGTATACAGGCTGTTACAAATTTACTTCTTACTACAGGGATCTTGGAAACGGTAAGAGATATACGAAGTAGCTTAAATGGGGGCAAAGTTGCATAATCAGGGGACCAACATTATGCCTCTAAAAAATCAAGGCTAACATGATTAGTTCTCGAAATATTTGAAAACACCGAAATTTTGGAAATACGTTTTTGTTTCATTTCAGCCTTCAGATTTCTATCGAATGGCATTATCAATTTTCATATGTAACATTTCATCTCTCCACTCTCCAGGACCATCTTCATAAATATCTAGGGGATGAATTTTAAGATATTCTTAGTGACCTTTATTGATCTCTGTTTCAGGTAAAAAATAAATATATTTATATTCGTCTATCCAAAAACTTATATGTATATACTTAGTTTCTTACAAAATTATCGTAAACAAGTTAAATATAGAAATAAAAAAATGTGTAACTCTTAAAGAAAGTAAAATTGTAAGGAAAACTCAATTTAGATATCCATCCATTTATTTTTATTGAAGGCATCATTATGACAATTTTGTTTTTCCGACACTAAATATAATTTTTGTGAATACTTAGCACATAGGTAGGTACATATACTAGGTATATCAGTACCTAAGTAAAATGGGTATCTAACAATAATAGAAAGGGATAATAACTTGATTTTGTAATTTATACAGTATGTAGGTAATATCAGTGACTATAACGAGAATTATAGTCACTGGTAATATCTAAGTAATTTAAAATATACAGAATCACTAGTCCTAATAAGTTTTGTTTTATCTTGACTAATCAGCATTAATTTGTATGTAAAGTTGTGCAATATTTTACTTCATTTAATTGAATAGGTAGGTGTTCGTGGATCATCTAAATAAAATAATGTACAGAATATAAGACGAATTTTGATTATGGAATATGGAATTTCACTTCCCAGTTCCAAGATTTGAGAAACGTGACGACAGCGCCGGACGAAGAAGACGCTACGCTAGACGAGAGACGAGATTTCGAGATCATCGCGTCGCGTCGATTGTCACGTAGTTTTATTACAGAGCGCAGTCGCATATGTAAACGTCCGATGTTGTCAAATTTTAATAATTTTATAGATGTACCTTTTTATTGAGATTGGGGAAGTGGAGTGTTAGCATAAAAAAGTGTTGTATTTGTCACTGAATTCTATTCTACAATGAAAGTTAATTCAAACTAAAGAAATATCATCAATGACATCCTGATATAAATTATTTAATTTCAAAAATTTCTATTAGGTATTCCAGTATTTCCAGTCGTGGGCTCGTGGGTCACTCGTCATTTTTAACTTGTGAGGTACTAGCAGGGCCCGAGAACTTATACTTGAAAATATGGGGACACTGGGAACCACGTGACTTGAGGTGGATATACAAGTTGGGGAAAGAGTCTATAGATGTCGCCACAAAGATTTTGTAGAATAAATTTTGACAATTGCAATTATGAATCATTTCATGTCATTCTTATTGCTCATGTTTATTGTTGGTTAGGTTTGGCGAGTGTTGGTGTGTGTTTTATTTGTGTTTTTAGTGTGTTTTATTAGATATTTCATTCACATTTATTTATATAACATAATAATGTCTGATCATCATATAATCACATTTTTTTATTAATAATAAAATGTTTTGTTTTGTTTGTTTTTAATAAAAAATGTGATCAGAGGTAGGTAGTTTTTTTTATGGATATCAACACAACGAAAAATTTAAAGTTGCATAATAAATCTCTATTACAAGAATTAATCAAAAATTGGTTTAGTAAAATTATTTACTTGTAATATTTTTTTATTCACCGTGAAAGCTAATACAATATAGAAAGCACTGAAACTCTATAATCATTTCCACTATTTTTTTTCAAAATATGTACTGAAATTTGAAATTTTTTCAACAAACATTTTAAAAAGTTACAGTATCAAATTTATTTCTTATTTTAAGTAGGAAGACTATTAGAGCATTTAAAAGTGTCTTTAATGCTTGAGTGATTTTAATGCTTTTTATCAAATGTACTTATTTTCTCATGGTGACAAAAAAAATTATCTACGTGAAAATTATTTTGCAAAATCAATTTCTGAGTGATCTGTGTAGGGTGAGATTTGTTATGTAATTTTAAATTTAGCGGCGGCAGAATACCTAAAACAAATATTGAGTAGGTAGGTATATAGTTGTAGAGCGTACAACTAGATGGCGTTTGCATCTTTTACCGGCTACAGGTAATTTAACTCACTGTATTACCGATAATTCCTAGAAAAGGAAAGCAATAGAAATTGGAGAAAGTGTCAACAGTTAGCGCTGTTAATGACCACGAAATTTGTTCAAGTTTCCTATCTATAGTATCATTTATCTAGGGGTACTAGACTATGTGCGTGTTACACATATTATTACTGAAAACTTATTCTAATAACTCTTCCCTGTTTCTCTGCATTAGTAAAAAATATCGACGTCAACAGAGTTTCAAGTTCTGCTCATTTTGCCATGAGATCTCACGGCTGCCCGCCAAATTCGTTTAACATTTATAATTTTTTATATTGCCTATTAAATAATAATTTCATATTAAAATAAACAAAAACAGGTCAAGTAAAATTTCTTGCTACATTATCTCATTTTATGATAACATCTGAAAAGGTAGCAAGGGCCCTATTTACTAACGTAAGTATAATCTAACTCATTAGAAGTTGTAAATATTTGTAAATAATCAAATTTATTTTCCTTTTTAATAAAGTCACAAAATGCCACAATTAAAAATACGGACAGTATAGAACATAGAAGGTATAACGTAAAGATATGTAGTAGTGGTCTTGTCTTTGATAAGTACTTGCTTTAAAAATTCTCAGGACTTACCAAAAACTGTAGATCTAGCAACCTTGGAGTTAGGATAAATTACCCAAATCACGTGACTGTAGGATTTCCTTTTTATGTCGACGTTTGCCCTTCAAATGACATTTTGTAGTTGCTGTGTGTGAGTAACTGATTAAATTTTTCTTGTAAGTATTTTTGTTAAAAGCCCTTCCTTTATCTCTCATTTATTATAATCTCAATAATTTCGTTTCTCATCTCATTATGCATTAATTAGTAGGTATTGTTATCACCTTTGTAATATACTTTATGAAATGTGTCATTTTAATCAATAAACAAATTTTAGAGTTAGATAATCATATTTCTGGGCCTTATAGCCATATTTTTTCATTGAGTTTATTACTATTTTGTTTATATATTTTGAATTGTTTTCGGGTCCAAAATTGTATATAGAATATCTTTATGCATCGGGATCTTGCCCAAAATGCCGGCTGTGACCTCTATGACCTTCATTGCAGTTTACAGTAACGGAGGGTATAGGTAGTCCTAGTTTATTTTTATAAATTCTTTGACTTAAATTCCTCGAGTGGCATTGGTGTAGGTAATGTTATAGGTATAGTACATTTTAAAATGACGTTTTCATCTAGGTATTTAAAAATATTTTATTGTACACCTCTTATTAATACAGCATAGTGCATAGTGCAACTATGCTAGATGCCGAAGAGAAGGATTATTTATAAATGGTTAATTATTTTGCTTCATTTTAAAAAAAATGCCTGAGCAAAAGGAATGCACAGTTAATAAATATGTTCATCTATTGAATTGCTTAAAAAAATTTATTTAATTTATTATGAAATTAAAAATCCTGATTGTAGATGAGTATGTAGGTATATAAAATGATTTTTTAAATATTTTTATAAAAAAAATTTATTGGAAGTACCACTGCTACACATTCAGCAGTTAATGAAATCCTTTAACATTACAGTAAACAATGTGACCTTTATTTGGCCTTCGTTTTGCTGGAAAGTACTAAATACCTGTAAACAAACTATTGTTTTTTCTGAAAATAGTTTTGCCGAACCAAAAATCTCACAAAAAAGCAGATAATTACAAAAAACACCACAAAAATCTATCTGATATCGTCCTCTGAAATTGTACCGACTTCTGAAATAGGTCATTAGTTAATAACAATAAGAAAATTTTTAATTAAATTGGATTTTGCTATATTTAAAAATGTATTTAGAATGTGTGTTAAACCAACTCGATATTGCGGTCACTCAGCAAAACATTCAATAAACAAATATGTCGGAAGAAAAAATCTAATTAGGTTTAACATCTATATGTAAAACATAGTTAGGTCAATCATTTAAACGGGTGTTTGAAAGATAAAATAGTTCATTCTTAAAAGTATTTTTATTGACTCCTGCATATTTTTTAAATTTTTTTAAAGTTAATCACAATGATGCATGTAGTGTTAAACAAAAAATTATCCTAATTAAATATCTAGATACTAAGACCCGCTAGTTTGAGTCTTGGTTAAGACTTGATTAACTAATCATGTGATTACTTAACCAAGGCTTAACCAAGACTCAAAGTACCGGGACTAAGCGGGATCGCACACTGGAGCAATAAGCAACTGGCGATAGACAACGGAAAATAATATTGTACATTTGTCTCGCATCAAAGTAACATAAAACATGTAACAGTGTCCATCTTTTTGTAAATAATGTTGTAAATGACAGTGATGACGATGTTTTGCTATTTTGGTGGTACGAGAAGAAATAAACGAAGACCCTTCATTATTGGAACTGAGGTATCATCGTATGGATAAAAGAACTAGAACATCCAGTTAAATTTCAAAATTGTTACTGAATGAATCCAGACTCATTTAAATGCCTATTAAATATGGTTGGCCCTTATATTACAAAACGTGATAGAAATTGCAGAGCGGCTATAGAACCAACAGAAAAAAAAATGCTTTACCTTGGCAAGACAATTACTCTGTATAATATATTTGAATAAATGTTAGTTAATTACAATTAAAAAATGAAAGCACGCACCAGAATCTTTAATTTCATTGGCAATTTCTAAATTTTATTGCCTGAATGTTTCTTCGAAAATGAAACGTCGACATGCAGGTTTATCATCCGCAATATAAATTGCCGAAATTAAGAAACTTGTTCTGACAACCAATATCGCATTGCTTCAGTGTGCGGGACAACATTTGATCTTTAGTGTATTGTCAATTCGTGATAATATCGTCTATTGCTAGTTGCGTATTGCATATTGGGACTCATACCATTTCTTATGCAAAGATTTCTAGGCTCATCTAGAAAAGTTTCAAAGTTTACAAAATAAAATATTAAAATATGGGTAGTTTCCCTGGTGATCTAAAAGGCATACGTAATTGCAAAAATATATTTTTTCATTACAAGATACAGTCGGATGGTTTATTTTTCTCAAAATTAAATTAACATTTTTATTTGACACTATCATTCCATTTTTTAAACTTTATTATTCTCTAATTTTAAGAAAACTGAAAATTTGTGTAAAATAATAAACCTCCTGTCTGTAGGTATAAGTTGATTATGAAATAAAATATGCTGCAAAATATGCGCAACTTTTATCAAGATTTAATGGTCAGTCGCCCCCGATTGTTTATTTGGCAAATTTTGTTCCAACTTTTTTCATTATAAAGGTTCTGAATGCAGTCCTAGAAACAGTGACGGCTAGTCCAGGGAGTTCTGGGGTGCCCCCCCCCTTGAAATTTTCATATTAAAAAAAATTATGTTAAAAATGTTATTTAGATAATTAAACAGATTAACCTTATGAAACACATTAAAATGGAAATGTTAAATTTGTAATGTGAAGTCAATTTAACTCAACTTGCAAAACTGTGAATACATGGGTTCCTCGCAGCTCGTCTCTACATCTGTAAAGTGTTTACAGCAGTGGTCATGGTTACCTTCTCGCAGAACTGAAAGACAGAGTGGGAATAGCGCATATTTACTATGCAGTTTGGGCTTAATAAATGTAATTTGTGTAAAATTTTGTTGCATACTGTTTCTTGTGTTTTTAAAAAAATTGTAAATGTTTAAATTGCAAAAATCAATTATGCGAAAAATACCAAACTTTGATGAAAAAGTAATTGAAAAGTTTATTTTACACAAAAGCAGAAGAATGGACTTACACTGTAAAAAATAATGTCCAGTACATTTTCTGTATACATATTTCAATTGTACTTAAAATAAAACTATCCAATTATATCTGATTTTTCTATCAATACTTTGTACTTAAATATTTCCACCCTCCCTGGTATAGAAGTCAAGAGCCGCCACTGCTTAGAAATTATATCCTAAAAAGTCTATACTTGAATCTTTAATTTTTGCTAGCTGTCTGTTGTAATTTTTTTTTCTTATTGTTAGTTATGTGTTGATGTTGAAATAGTTTAATTCATTAATAAATTATAATATCGATATTTTAATGTGTGAAGATATTAAAATTAATCAACATTTAAATGTCAAAACATATTCATAATTTTTTTTTAATCAGAAAACTAAATCAAGATGGTGAAAATTGGAATCAACGGTTTTGGAAGAATTGGACGTTTGGTCCTCCGAGCATCTATTGAACGTGGAGCAGAAGTAGTAGCTGTAAATGATCCCTTCCTTGATGTTGATTATATGGTGTATCTCTTCAAATTTGATTCAACCCATGGACGTTACAAGGGTTGTGTGTCATCTGATGGAAAGAACTTGGTAGTCGATGGCAAAAAAATTGCTGTATTCCAAGAAAGAGATCCCAAGGTAAGAAACTAGTATTTCTAAAATGAAAAAAATAATTTCAGTAAGGCAAAAACTTCCGGAACATTTTTAAAAAATTATCTTGAGAAATTTGAAAATTTTATAGAATAAAATTTAAAAATTCTCATTTTGTCATTGTAGTACTGTTTTATGTTATAAAATAATGGAGAAAAAAAATGAAGATTTTTTTTTTTTGTATTAGGCCATTCCATGGGGACAGTCGGGCGCTGATTACGTTGTTGAATCTACCGGAGTATTCACAACCATTGAAAAGGCTTCTGCTCACTTGGCTGGTGGAGCAAAGAAGGTTATCATCTCTGCTCCTTCAGCTGATGCTCCTATGTATGTCTGTGGTGTTAACCTTGATGCTTACAACCCAGCTGACAAGGTATGTTAATGCATAATTTTATATATTCTGTATTTTTATTATTTATGCAATATCAGTTATTACTGTGATAAATATTTTTTTGTAAGAAATAGGAAGATATGTTTTAAACAAGTTTTTGAAATTATACTGATGTTTTAATGAAATTTAAATGAACTAGTTATATTTAAAATTTATAACATACACACACACATATATACAATAAAATAGAAGGAATCGGATTTACTGTTTACACATATTATTTTTGATACTTTATTTTTTTATCTGATTGATAGTTATGTGTTAAAGTTGAACGATCAAAGTTTTCTTATAAAAATAATGAACTAACCAGATAATGTACATATTTTTCTGTTTATCTATTTCATTAAGCGACGACAATTAATTTCGTAATATTTTTCCAATATTTTTATCCGGTTCAAAAAAACAAGGTTATTCTTTGAGTCATTGTAATAATATCAATATTGGAATATTTTTAAATTAAAATGTCATCTTGTTATTTATTATAGTATAAAATATTTAGGTCCGTTACTTTGTCTGGATTAAATAAAAATATGTGACAATTAATATTTAATTCATGGATTTTGTACTTTATTTTTTGGATAGCAACTAACATCTGATTAAATATGGCCGAATTAATCAACAGTCGAAATCTACCAAATCATATTCATTATTTCGTTTGTTCAAATTTAAATTTGATAGCAGAGAAACAGATAAACTAATTCTGTATAATTCTATGAAATTTTGTGCTATTTTGAAATGGCTCTTGATTTTGAGATTTTTTAAGAAGAATTAATTCAATTTACTAATGATCGGCATGTTTATACAGTTCGGAATCGTCAAAATAATTTAAATAAATGGGAGTTTTTTGTAACAGTTTTCGACCAAGGAAAGCGACCGTTAATAGAAGAAATTCAACATTTGTTACATCCTCTTGATTTTAAAGATTGGTAGGTGATTATAAAACAAAATCAAAAGTTAGAAATCTCAGTTTAGAGCTTCATCACCATATCAGTATAATCAACCAAAAAAATATTTAACTTTTATTTCTTGGTTTCTATCTCATTTTATTACATAGGTAAACAAATCTGTCCCTCTCCTATAGTTTTATTTATGAGCCTATCTTTGCAAATGCTTTTAGTTCCGCTTAGTGGTACATTAAACTTATTGTTCTAATAAATGTAGCTCAATGAGCTCAATGTACAGATGTGGATATTTATTAGACGATTATTCTTTGCCCAGTTTTAATTAGAACTTAAATAAATAATAATTGAAATCAATTTTAAAATAAAACGAACAGTTAAGGAGGTTTATCTGATTTGGAATTGAAAACAAATATTCATAGAAAAATTAATATAAGCTTATTAATATGAAGAAAATCCTCAAAAAAAATGACCTAAAACGCGAGATAATAATAAAAAAAATTTTCACAATTTTTAGTACGAAGTCTTATGAGAACGCAGTTTTTTTTTTGGTGTTTCCACTTGGAATGCGCAACAATTGACGAGCAGTTTCCACAGCAACTTGTATAAATAGGAAACCGATATCTAAGGAACCGTATGACGGCTTGTAGAAATCGATTAGGTACTTTACATAATTTATAATAATTCTCCTTCAAACTGCTGTCGTTAACTAACTTAACCGCAATATGCGTGATAGCGACAACACCGTGGTTCTCGACGTAGCGTTTTATTTGAAATTCGCAGGTGTGACATTATGATGTATATTTCGAGCTTAGGCATCCAGCGTGCCAGCCAAGTGCAACGTTGCCAAATCTAAAGGCTTACTACTTTAGTCACTAGCAAATCTACAGAAACTCTCGTTAGACTTTAGACATACCCCCGTACCAGATAAACCTCCTTAAGAAATGTATAGGGTGTTGAAAAAAAAAGGGATTTTTTTTTCTTTAATAACATTGTCCATAGTCTAGTACATCACAAGTTGATAACACTGGTGTACAGTTTAAATAAAAAATTTTAAAATTAAATAAAAATTTGTTTAAAGCGTTCTTAGCAAAAACGCTGATATGGTTTGCATTAACTTTCATTGTAAAATAATAATCATGACAAATTGCTACACATTTTTTTAATTAAAACAATACTTGTATGCTAAATTAACCTATAAGAAAAAACGTTTATCAGTTAAAAATAACTTTGTCGTTTAAAATTGAATAGGTTCTTTACATTTTTACTGACTTAATTTGTTATAAATTTTTAAGCCTAATTGACAAATAGGTGAGTTTGTAGCTACTTTACATTTAAAAATAGAATATGAACATTTCCATTGTATCTTTAAAGCAAGCACAAAACCCTTAAGACTCGGTTTAGATGTTTTCTTATAATTCATAGGATTTAGCCCTTAAGTAGATAATATATATTTATTATTAATAAAACGGTATAAACACGGTCTTTTTTACTGAAGCATGTGACCATGCTGGTTTGTCTAGTGCACACGTCTTATTGTCTCAAAATTTGTTACAAAGGACGTTTTGCAGGCGTAGCAGCTATATGAACTATTTTTTTTTATTTTTATTTTAAATAGTAATACATACATATTTAAAACCATTAAATAAAGTTTCAGATAAATTATCTGCTATTACACGATATATGAAAAAGTAACATTGTTAAATTGTCCAAGCGAGACATCTCTGCAAGTTTGATAAGTATGCAATAAGTTTTGTAAGCTAATAAAACAATTTGAAATTAAGCCGTTGGAAGTGGTTGATCACAATAGCCTTAGTTATAATTGGACTAAAATCCATATTTCTATATGAAACCAAACTTATGGGTGGAAGTACATTGAAATGTATAATTAGTCATCAAAGGCGGAGTCATAAAAGACGGTAGCGACAGTAATGTCCAAGCATTTTGATGGGTATCGCAATTTAACGGCAAGTGTCAAAATTGTCTATATTTTATGTATTAGAATTTTTATTTTTGACAAGTTCCTACCTACTTATACAAATGCTACTGAAAAGCAATATAAATACATGTTATTTTCAGATAATTAAATTAAAATTTAAAATGTCAAAATTTTTTCAATTAATCAAATGTCAAATCTGATATTCATAACCGCCATGTAGCGGGTTTTACATGGGAGGCTATAACTGTTTCAATTTTTTAATACGTCAACTAAATAAAAATATGATTTTTTTCCATGTCTGATATTGTCAAAAATATAAATAACTTATTGTTCAATGAAACACCCTGTATATTCCATTAGTTTTGGTGAAACAAAAATTGACAACATAGGAAATTGAAATTTCTGTAGAGTATATTACAGAGCATTATAGGGCAATGATATTCAATTTATTTATTTATTTATTTATAGTTTGCTTCAGTTTAATTTAAAAAATATTGTTTTACAAGAAATAATCAAAAAAGTGAAATTTTTCTACATGGTATAACACTGTAATTGTTTTTAATAAAACCGTTTCCAGTAATTAAAAATAAAATTCTGTGTACACAACTCTGCAGTGTAATTAATTTACAGGTCATTTCAAATGCTTCATGCACAACAAATTGTTTGGCTCCCTTGGCCAAGGTCATCCATGACAACTTTGAGATCGTTGAGGGTCTTATGACCACAGTACATGCCACCACTGCAACTCAGAAGACTGTGGACGGACCTTCTGGAAAATTGTGGCGTGATGGTCGTGGCGCTGGACAAAACATCATTCCTGCCTCCACTGGAGCCGCTAAAGCAGTCGGGAAGGTCATTCCTGCCCTTAATGGTAAGTGTTGGCTGAAAACTTTTTCTACATTAGGAATTACAAAAAAAAAACTGCCCTGTAGGTGTATTCTGGTTTTGTACAATATTGGTTCAATTTTATAGGCAAACTTACTGGCATGGCTTTCCGTGTACCACTAGCCAATGTATCTGTTGTCGATCTGACAGTACGTCTGGGCAAAGGGGCCTCGTACGATGAAATCAAAGCCAAAGTTAAGGAGGCCGCCGAGGGTGACCTCAAGGGAATCTTGGGTTACACAGATGAAGAAGTTGTCTCATCCGATTTCATTGGTGACACACATTCTTCCATCTTTGACGCAAAGGCTGGAATTTCTTTGAATCAAAACTTCGTCAAACTCATCTCTTGGTATGACAATGAATACGGTTACTCCACCAGGGTCATCGACTTGATTAAATACATTTCCACTAAAGATGCCTAAGTATTATGTGTGACAGTGAATGTAATTCGTCTGTGGCTGATCACAGAAATTTCTTTTTAAACGGAACTTTTTAGTAGTTCTGCATTGCAAAAAATTGTCCAGTGTACTCTTCATCGTGTATTTTTATTTATGTATTTGTTTAGATTAGCTACATTAATTAAAAGTTGGAAAATTTTTTATTCTTTGTTATCCGGTCCACTCACCTAATTCCAGTTCCACTTAATTTTCGAGCGTTTTGCTGAAATCTTCCTTTTATAATATTTGATTTTCGTCATTTCCTGAACTGCGTTCCTAGTTCCAATTCAGTAAGATTTGTTTTCCTTGCTCGATATCGAGTTCCATTATCTCGTCCCTATTCCTCTTTGTATCCTTATTCATTTTTTATTGATGTCCACAATACTAACTAAAATAAAGTTATTAGCATCGGGGTGTTTTTTTAAATTCGTATCGTATAACTTATGTGGATAGAAAATAATAAAAGGACTTGACCGAAGCTGATGAGAGCAATAATTGCATTGTAGTGAGATTTGACACTCCACATGTAATGGAAAGCTTGATTTTTTTAATTGGAACGGAATTTATATTTTACCTATTTGAATGAAATGCTTTTTTATCATCGATTACTCGTGGTGTTCAAAAAATAAATTATTTATTTCTGATAGTCAGATTTGTGGATATGGAATAGATTTTCTTAAACACTACCCCAAGATGTCAAATTTGACATTAATCAAGTGTCCTTTGCAAAAATTCGGTTGTAAAGGGACACGCATTATATTTTGATAGTATTTGGACTTTCTAGTGGAATTTCTTAGCAGGAATATTTTTTTTTTCATTACGCTGCTAATTTCCTACAAAGGTATTTAGTCGGAAAAATCGACTGACAAGATTAATCGTAAATATATAAATTAGTGGATCAAAGAATTTTTAAAAGGGTTTTAAGAAGGGGTAAGACCACTATAATTTTCAGAAAATCTATATTTAAATGATGCTTTGAACCTTCTAAAATAAAGGGAAAATAGTTTTATGCCTGTACAATTTTTTTTCTTTGAAATTCCAAGCGTGTTGGACTGCTCCGAAACAACTGCCGTCACATAGATATACCTGCTGGTAGGGTACAGACTATTGACTTATCTTTTGATTTCTAACTTCTCTAGTACTACTAACAGATGTCGTTAGAAAGAGTTCAATTAGAAGAATTTTCAAATGAAAGTACATATGTTAGTGTCGCGTATGTCTCAAAACTTTAAGTGTTTTCCTTGAAACTTGCATAACTCCTAACAATTTTCATTCTGTTCATTCCAAATTTTGACCATATCTTTAAAATAATATCCAAAGAGAAATACATACGGGATGTTCGAAATTGAATATGTAGAATAACATTTTTTTATAACAGTAACAGGTGTCGAAAAACAGGCATGTGTAGATTTTGGATAACTAGATTTGACCACTAATATACAAAAAGCATTTCTACATGTTTGAAGAGTGACTTTGATGCATGTGAGTGGTTGGAGAGGATCGAGGTAGGGTGACATTATGTTTGACATTTTGGGGTTGGTTCTAATCGTTGTGTGGGAGGGAGGGGGTATTGGGGTGCGGATGGCGTGACAGTATGTTTGTGGGATTTATCTTCTTTGAAAATGGTTGATGAAGTAGACGTAGCCGATGAAATAGGTTATACAGGGTGTCCCGTTCATGTTTTAAAAAAACTTGCGTGCTAGTTTCTTATAGAAAAATAATAGGGGTAGTTCATATAAAGTTTTTTTCTTAGACGCCCTGTTTTTGAGATACAGTGTGTTGAAGTTGTTACAAATGTCCAAATGGTTTTCCTTAATTATCTTTAAATCGGCTAAAGATAAATATGTCAAAATTTGTACACGAGTAAACATCAACTGTGCGTTAAGAATAATGTGCAAACGATTTCTTTCTGAAAAGCATTGTCGCTGATACAGGTAATTGAAGGGGTGCAATCGAAGAAAAAATATGGTAAAAGTCAATATTTATTACATTTCTAAACGGATATGTAAACTCTAAAGGATACTACAAAAAAAGGTATATTTGTCGAAATTCGGTAGGATGTACCATTTTCGAGAAAAATGAAATTGCATTTTTTTTGCTCACATAAAGCGGCACAAGTACATTAACAAAATATTAAATTGATAGAGGACCTTACCATTGAATGAGCTGAAGACATTTAGCTACCAACGGTATTTGCATTTAAGAGATTATAATTTTAATTTCTTACGTTATGACATGAATCAGTTAAATTGTAAAACATTTTATTAACTAAAAAAAAAAAAAAATTAAAGTTTCATTTTATTGTAAACTACCATTTAAAAAAGTAAATCAAAATAAACAGATTATGGTAATTAATTATCTATTATTAACTAATTTTAGATTTTGTAAACTACTATATACACCACCATTACTAAAATAAACAATTGTTGAATGAAGTGAATTGTTGATGGACAAGATTGTTTAAAAAAACATATTAGGAAATAGACTGGATACATACAGTACAAAACAGCACAATTAAATAAATGTGCAAATTCAAAATACTACAGTAGGTATAGATACTGAAATTGTCCCCATTTCCTTCTATGCAACTTCATTTTTCTCGAAAATGGTACATGCTACCGAATTTCAACAAGTATACCTCTTTTTGTGGTATGCTTTAGGGTTTACAGAACTGTTTAGAAATGTAATAAATTTTGATTTTAACACATTTTTTTTTTCGATTGTACCCAGTGGCAGCGGGTGAACATTGATTGAATGTGTTCTGCTTAGGGTTGTTACATTTGTTGAATTGAATTCCGGGATATTAAGTGCCCGGAGTCCCTAAATGGCACCGCAGGCGAAAAATTTTAAAATTTTCAAGGTCACGCGTTTTCCTGGCACTTCTGAATTTCAAGGAACAATGAATTTATAAAAAAAATACAGATTTTCACAAGAATGATTTTTGAAATTGATACCTTTTTGAAATATCCATTTACGAATTACCTACTGATGGTATAATAATTTGGAATTAACTAAATATATTTTATTAAATTATTGAATATTGTTTATAAAAAAAAATCGTTTGTGAAATTTACCAACGATTCAACGAATTTTAATTTTCCTCGGCGTGTTATGATTTTTTCTTTATCTTTTTTTATATATATGTACATTATATTATATTCCGGGAGTTATACGTGCAAATCCGAAATCCGGGACCATACAGCTAATTCCCGGTACAATCACAGAAAATCCCGGTCATACCAATGTGGCTAGATGTTCTTTTAAAATGTCGTCAAGATCTACACTAAAATTTATGAGTCCACGAAACACATCAGGGTTGTCCGAATTTTCTGTCTTGTCGTGTCCGAGAAGTGCTAATTCGAAATCTCCCCAAAAGTTTATGCAATCTATGATTTTAAATAATACATGACGATTCTTCATTACCTGTTCATATGTTTCCGTATATTATCCCAATATGCAGAATCTAACTGACTTCTTATGTTTATTTTACCTAAAGACGTAATGACTTAAATCTTTCACACTGTATATTGTCCATGCTTTATCCCCACCGAAAAGTAAGCATGGAAAACAAAACAGTGAATATGTTAAATCACACCCGCACACCCACTCTGCTTTTGTGTATACATTATTGTTTTTTTATAACTTTTACTTCTTTTATTTTTAGTTTATCCTCATAAGGCAGAGAACCAAAGTTTTTTTTTAAACGAAACGCTATTCATTTTAATAACTATAATATCCGTAGATGCCTAAACGAAAATATTCATACGTGCCGCTCGCAGAAATAAACCACCACATACCACGTACGAAATATTACTGCATTTACTACAGAGTGCAGACTGCAGCGCTGTGACTATTGCAGCCGCAAAAGCCCCTATCTCCGTGTACTGGGTCACGTGCCTGATCAGCCAATAAAAACAAAGGACGCATATAATTGTTCGCTGTCCACACATTGTGTATATGAGGTTGCATATATTAAGGAGCGTAGCTCGCGTCGCAATAAATAATAATATAAGCTCCTAGATTTATTTTAGCGCGAGTACATTTGGATTCTTTAAATATTTTGTTGACATTTAATATGATTAAATACATAAAATTTTATGTGTTCTGCAGCTCCGCAGCTCTTATGGTAAAACCGCCACTGATTGTACCCCTTCAATTACCTGTTTCGGCGACACTGCTTTTCAGTAGGAAGCCGTTTGCACATTATTCTTAACACACTGTTGATGTTTACTCGTGTACAAATTTTGACATTTTTTATCTTTAACCGATTTAAAGATAATGAAGGAAAACCATTTGGAAAGTGATAACTTCAACAGACTGTGTCTTGAAAACAGGGCGTCTAAGAAGAAAACTTTACATGAACTACCCCTATTAATTTTCCAAGAGAAACTTGCACACAATTTTTTTTGAAACATGAATGGGACACCTTGTATATTCTCGTTGTGCCTTCAAAATGCAACATGTATTTTATCAAATTGTTCAGTGGGAGTTAAAAAACTGTTGGCTTATTTTATTTAAGAATTACAACAATTATCTTTAATTTCATTGCAGACAGAAAATAAGATGGCTGTTTTTAACCAGATTATGCAGTTTGATGTTTGTTGAAATATGCATACATCGCATTTTGAAGGCCAACAACAATATGCATTTAACCCGTCTTCGGGCAGTTTGTGTCCTGTTTGGGGAGGGGTTAAAGGTGCGGGTTTAATGGCATTCTGTTCATGGGCTTTAACTTCCTTGCAAATGAATGACATTGCTATCCACATGAGTGACATACGTGTGTCTAATATGCTAAGAAAAGGGGTAAAAGTGGTCAAAAACAAACAAACGTACCATCTGCCGGGGTTTTTATGATCGAAATTTTATTCCAGAAGCCAAAAGTAACTCGTATTCATAGTAATTTTCAGTATTGACCGAGACCACTTTTTAATGAATTAGTGCATTCAAAATATCAGCGTCCAATGAGGTATAGCTCTTTGAAAGTGGTTCCGTTTTAAATTTTTCCATTTCAACAGATTGTATCTCGGAAACAAAACATTTTCTGTAAAAACTTATTAATTATACTCCTTAATTTCCTTGTACAATCTGTCTGTGATAGCTGATTACTAACTAAAAACCCTGTAGATGTAACAAGTAGTTTGAAAATTAGAAATTTTACTTTAGAACAAGGAAAACAAGGAAAAGTATAGTACTGATATTGATAGATACTGTCATTAGTTTCAGAATTGAAGGGTGTGGACACTAAATAAAAGACTACTATAATGTACTGAATTTATTTATAGGAAAGTTGACCGGTATGGCATTCCGTGTTCCTGTTTATGATGCGTCTGTCGTAGACTTGACTGTACGTCTAGGCAAAGCGGCCACATATGAGGAAATTAAGGCTGTAATGAAAAAAGCAGCGGAAGGTGA